AGACAGACAGACAGACAGACAGACAGACAGACAGACAGACAGACAGAGTGACTCTTAGTGCATTAGGATGTCTGAATACATGCAAAGGACTTTTTTAATGCCAATGCAAAATTTGAATCGAATACCTCTAAATATCTAAGTGAAAACAAAGACTAATTCTCTCAGATTGAATAAGATGCTTTTTACCATTTTGTCATCAAATACAAAAGAATTGACAAACCATTTAACCTCACCATACACAATACCTAAAATTTAATATATTTATGTATATATATGTACAAATAAAGGTACATTTCCAAGTTCTTTAATCAGAGTTGTGCCTATTTGGTGTGTTTATCAAATACAGACATGGCTAAAGCCGTGGTGAGAGTCAAATGTAACTAATAAATGACAGAGACTACTTTCATTGTTATCTATAGTCAATACACCAAACTAATCAGCTGTGTGTGACAAAAAAAAAGGTAAGCAAAATAAGAGATGGCCGGTGTTTTTTAGGTACTTTAATGGAACTGAACTTATTTAAGAAACAAGTCCAGTAAGAAAGATATCCTTGTGAGGGGGGATCTATGTGAGCTAAACACAGAAGAATGGCTTGTTTTCATAGGAACCAAAGCTTTATTTTTTGTCTTTCTCTTCTGTTTTCTTTTCTTCTTTTGCACCTTCACCTGTTACTTAGCATCTTTCGCTTCATCGGTTTCTGGCTCCTCTCCATCTTTTCCCTCATCTTTCTCTGCCTCCTCTTCCTTTTCTCCTTCAGTTTTCTCTCCCTCTCCTTCTGCCTTTTCATCTTCTTTTTTCTCCTCTTCCACCACTGTCTCTTCTTTTTTCACTTCCTCTTCATCCTCCTCCTCTTCTTCTACTTCCTCTCCAGTCAGATATTCCAGATCTTTAATGCGATTTCTCAGAGCTTTGCCGGAAGTCTTGTAGTTTCCCAGTATCTTCTTAAGCTTGGTTTGCATCAAATCAAGCATGCTGTATAATTTGTTGACCTTCTCTTCCAGCTCTTTGGCCTCAGGCTTGATGTTGGCTGGGTCCAAGTCAATCAGGCCATCTTTCAGTAGGATCTGCCGGCCCTTCTCCTCCAGCATGGCTTTGGCATCTGGATACTCTAACAGTGACTCCATTAAGTCATCTTTGGACAGGCAGAACAGGTCCGAATATCCGATGCTGCGAATGTTGGCTGTCCGTCTGTTACCCGCTTTGCTGCCTTTAATATTAAGGATGCTGATCTCTCCAAAATAGCTGCCACTTCCGAGCACAACGAACTGTGTCACACCGTCGTCAGCAACAACCGCAAGTTTTCCGTCTTTTATGATGTACATTTCACGGCCAATGTCCCCCTTCTTGCAGATGTAGTCTCCGGGGCTGAACACCTGTGGTCGGAGTTTGAGCACAAGCTCGATCAGCAGGCCAGCTTCACAGTCAGCAAAGATGCGGACCTTCTTCAGGGTGTCCATGTGGACTTGGATGGCTATCTCTGCTTTCAGCTTGTCCGGAAGATAGCGCAGCACCTCCCTCTCATCCTGCGCCTTGCCGTTATTCCATAGGTAGTCAAACCATTTGATGACACGCAACTCCAGTTCCTTGCTAACTTTTCGAGCCTGTAAAAAAGAAAGCAAGCAAAAACATTAACTGAATGATCCAAGGCGACAACAATGCAAATCTGTAATTCATCATGCACATTTTAAGTGGATATTAACCTGCATGTAGTGCTTGATATTGTCTATGCGAGACTGAAACTGGGCTTGGGCCGCGTTCATGTTGGATATCATGGTTGCAATGTTTCCCACAATTGTGGCAAAGATCAAGACACCAACTAAAAAGTCCACCACGTGAAAGAGGAATTCAGAGTCAAGAGCTGGTGGTGGGGTCTCCCCAATGGTGGTCAAGGTCAATGTGGACCAATATAGACTGAAGGAATATTTTCTCATGGGCAGTCCAAAATCAGGCTGCTCGGGATCATCCAGAGCTGGGTAGACCCAGTCATCAGCGCCAAAACCAATAGCTTTGGAGAAAGAGAAAAACAGACAGGCATTCCAGTGGATGATGATGAGGATGTACATAATTAGGTTTCCAATGCGAAAGATGTTGGGATAGTTGGTTTTAGTCTCTGTCCTTGTGAAAAACTCCATCATTCGGCCAATTCTCAACAGCTTGTTAATTCGAATCTCAGGGTAGTCTAGGCCCAAGAGAATATAGAAGACATCGGTTGGGAGCATAGAGACAAAATCGAGACGAAACTGGAAGGTAGAGACGTAGCGCTCCCAAAGCAGCTTCTCATCTTTCACCATCAAGCCCTGCTCAAGGTAGCCTGTGTTGAGAGAGGTACAAAAGTTTATAAATATTTTTGTAATAGTGCAGCCACAATAGGAGGTTTGGGTTTGTTTTTCACCTGTTCTGGCCCTGATGAATATATCAGCCAGGTAGATCAGATCAGACGTGTAGTCCAAAAAGAACCAGTAGATGATGTAGTCGTGTTGTAGTTCCTCAAAGCAAGCCCTGTTGGTAGAAAAGAGGAATGCCCCCAGCAGATGAGGGTGTTATGTCTCTGTGTCTGACTGTGCCAGTAATCTAAATAATGTTAGTGGTTTGTTTGCTTCTGCCAGTATTTGGTATTACTCAGCACCACATATTTAAGACGCCAGCAAACAGACTCACTTGAACAAATGAGGACCCAGAAAATGTTCACAAGTTACCTGGCTATTATCATGGTCCAGTTGTACATGACTGGTATTGTAATGACAAACAGCCAGTTGTAATACAAATTCCCAGCGGGATTAATGACAAATAATTCTTTAGGCCTGTGAAAAGACAGAATCAAAAAAAGAATTAAGAATCCTACAGGAGACAACATTTGAAAAACCTCAAATATACATATATTTTTTTGTTCAGCTTACTTATCTTTATCCTTTTCTTTTTCTTTCGCTTTCTCCTTCTCTTTCTCCTTTTCTTTTTCCTTTTCCTTTTCTTTCTCTTTCTCTTTCTCTTTCTCTTTTTCTAGTTCCTTCTCTTTTTCTTTTGCCTCTTTTTCCTGGTTCTCCTTCTTCTTTTTCCTGAAATGTAAAGAATACTGAGTGTCATAACATTTTGTCGACGAAACATTTGCAGACAGTTTAATTGTGAAGTTATTACTCTTACTTCTCTTTTTTTTCTTTCTTCTCCTTTTTCTTTTTCTGTTTTTCCTCCCTGAAAATAAAATACTTAAAATTAATGGACAAGCTTAAACGGTTAATCAGAAGTACAACTGGGATTTTTAGGGGCTTCACTTATCACTTGCTGACTTAAAAATGTACTTACTCTTCATTATTGTTGCTGTTATTCATGTTGGCCAGAGGATTTGACAGATGCTCACTGCTGGGAGAAGCACAGCATGAAGCACATGAAATTAATGAAACGAAAAGTCTTTCCTCTCGTCTAATTTGAGTAATGTATTTTAATAAGAATATCATTATAGATGACTTACAGGTCATCCTCACTTTCCTCTTCACTGTCTGTGGCAGTTTCTGATGCTGAATGAGGTGACACCGAGAGAAGGGGAAGGGTGGCAACAGTGGCCATGCTGGCAGGTCTACAATTTACCCTACAACAGGAAAACATGAGAGAACATCTGGAATTGGGATGACACAATCTGAGTCAACATTTCACCACTGTCCTGCCAAGGCTTTTTTCTAAACTTTCTGATTGTGTGAACAGATTAGTTGTCCGCTACAAACTGAATAAAACAGTTTCAGCTCCATGAGAATGTGAGCCCTCAGAAAATGTGTTGGATGTGTGGGATGTGTATGGATTGAGGAGAAAATGGAATCTTGTATTAAAAAATAATAAATCCAAAGATTATATTTACACAATTATTCCAAATCGCTTTTTACAAATAGTTAAAAAGTGTATCCATACAGGAAAACGTGAGGTGATATTATGATAAACATGATGCTTTCCACACTGTGCTCCACCAAAATAAATTAACAATGGGGTGAAGCCCAATTGGACCCTTTTGGCAATGAAAGTTATGTTTTTTGGTGGGTACTCTTTCATTGCAAGTCCTTGACCACAGTCTTGACCTGTGAAAATGTGAGTAGAGGGTGAAAAGGTTACTGCAAAATACAGAATAGTAGGATATCTGTTCGATATACAGGGGTTGGACAATGAAACTGAAACACCTCTCATTTTAGTGTGGGAGGTGTCATGGCTAAATTGGACCAGCCTGGTGGCCAATCTTCATTAATTGCACATTGAACCAATAAGAGCGGACTGTGAAGGTCCAATTAGCAGGGTAAAAACACAGTTTTGCTCAAAATATTGCAATGCACACAGCATTATGGGTGACATACCAGAGTTCAAAAGAGGACAAATTGTTGGTGCGCGTCTTGCTGGCGCATCTGTGACCAAGACAGCAAGTTTTTGTGCTTTATCAAGAGCCACGGTATCCAGGGTGATGTCAGCATACCACCAAGAAGGACGAATCACATCCAACAAGATTAACGGTGGACGCAAGAGGAAGCTGTCTGAAAGGGATGTTCGGGTGCTAACCCGGATTGGATCCAAAAAACAGAAAACCACGGCTGCCCAAATCACGGCAGAATTAAATGTGCACCTCAACTCTCCTGTTTCCACCAAAACTGTGCGTCGGGAGCTCCACAGGGTCAATATACACGGCCGGGCTACAACAGCCAAACCTTTGGTCACTCGTGCCAATGCCAAACGTCGGTTTCAATGGTGCAAAGAGCGCAAATCTTGGGATGTGGACAATGTGAAACATGTATTGTCCTCTGATGAGTCCACCTTTACTGTTTTCCCCACATCCGGGAGAGTTACGGTGTGGAGAAGCCCCAAAGAAGCGTACCACCCAGACTGTTGCATGCCCAGAGTGAAGCATGGGGGTGGATCAGTGATGGTTTGGGCTGCCATATCATGGCATTCCCTTGGCCCCATACTTGTGCTAGATGGGCGCGTCACTGCTGAACCATTTTGGAGGACTATGTGCATCCAATGGTTCAAACATTGTATCATGAAGGAGGTGCAGTGTATCAGGATGACAATGCACCAATACACACAGCAAGACTGGTGAAAGATTGGTTTGAAGAACATGAAAGTGAAGTTGAACATCTCCCATGGCCTGCACAGTCACCAGATCTCAATATTATTGAGCCACTTTGGGGTGTTTTGGAGGAGCGAGTCAGGAAACATTTTCCTCCACCAGCATCACGTCGTGACCTTGCCTTTATCCTGCAAGAAGAATGGCTTAAAATCCCTCTGACCACTGTGCAGGACTTGTATATGTCATTCCCAAGACAAAATTACGCTGTATTGGCCGCAAAAGGAGGCTTTACACCATACTAATGAAGTATTGTGGTCCAAAACCAGGTGTTTCAGTTTCATTGTCCAATCCCTGTATATGTGTGTTAAATAAAGGTACAAATTACCTATATTACAGATTTAGGGTGTCATTTTTACTTTGACATAGAAAGCAAAAATGGACTAAGTGTAAGCATTATAAACCTGTGTTTCTGTGTTACTCTGATGTTTTGATGCTTGGTTTAGGGACAAACGTATCATATGTGGTATGACCATAAATTGCTTTCACAGAATAGTTATTGAACCTGAGATCTACCTTACAAACTCATGCAATCTAAGCTAAACAAACAAAGAACCTCTGTATTATAAAACATGTACTCTTTCTCATAGTAATACATCCATTTCCCAACAGCTAACAGAGGCTGTGAAAAGGCTTTTTAAGCAACGCAGTGTTGGCTGCATGACATTTTTAGCCGAGTATAAAGGAACAAAAATAACCTGTGAAAAGAAACAAAAATCCCAGAACATTGTTACATCTCCACAGCTAAATAACATCCCTGTGTGGTGATGAATGTATTCATTGTGTGTGACTAATCTTACCTTTTCCACTTGTCAATGTAATGAGATGTCCATATCCCTTTAATCGTTGTGTAACCTTCCTTTATTCCTGTGGAGCAAGCTAATCACAGTCTCGGAACAGTCATTGTATGTATCACCAGCCGTTTTAATGGTAATTAAAGTTAATCAAATATAGCAAGCAAACTAACACCCCTAACTGTGTTCTGAGTCTAACTATGTCACTGAGTCTCATTGACCCTAACGAGGATTTGTGGATTAGAGCTGGCTATAAGGAGGTGAGGCAAAGTTATTCTCCCTCCTCACAAGTCCACTTCAGTGAAAGGAGTGATTAGTAAAGTTCGTACAAGTCTCAGTTCATCCCTTATTGATGATTCATGACACTGAAAGCCATTCCAGTCTAGGTAACCTTTACCTCAATATATTTATTTCTGGCGACAGCCTGTAATTTTCATGGCCATTTGCGGAACAGTGGAGGATTTAGTCTACTTGTTGGTGTTCACACACACACACACACACACACACACACAAACCCTCACACCTCTGCTGCTCACTCAGCATTCTCAGTCATATCTGTTCTGATCCTATTAGATGGCTCCCGGTAGAACAGATTTCAGATCAGATGGACGTGACACACTTTACCTGCCTCCGAATCATAGGAGCGACATTAAAGCTGAACCTCCGTCAGTGCTGATGTGGGTGGTGTGGGGAGATGCTCCTCCATCAGGAGAAATCCTGTGGTTCAGTGGCACTCTCTATTGGCAGGTGTGGTTTCTGCAGGTTCCTCTCAAAGGACTCGTGTTTCAAATCCAGCCTGTTCGTTTGAGTTCAGAGCAATTTGTTTTATGCTGAATAATTTCATAACACATCTAAATGGCAGTCACCGTGATTGCATTCGATGGAAACGATTAGAAAACCTGAAGTCCAAATAGTTTGCGCATTTTTATCTTGAACGATATCTTGGACGCAAACACTTCTCTGATGTGGTAGAAATTATAGGGACAAAAAGGCAAATAAATGACAATGACTTTGAAATAAAGAAATGTAAAGTCTTTATTTGAAAACAGAAAAAAAAGAACACAGAGAAAAGTCGTGTCTAATACTGGACTAAAAACATGCAGTTTTACCATATCTCACTTTTTTTTTTTGTCATAGTTTTTCTTCAGTGTCTCATCAACTTGCTTAAACCATTTCACTGATGGCTGTTTTCAGGTATAACGCTCTAACTGCTAAGAGGTAAAATGAGGAGGAGGGTAATTTAAAGTGCAGCGGGCTCTACTCCCGCCACGCTGGGGTCAGCGGCCTCTGGGACAGCGGCACCAGTGTCAACCGCGGCCGGCACTTCAGCGGCCGGGACGTCAGCGGCGGGGGGGTCAGCGGCGGCAGGGACGGCTGGATCGACGGCCACCTCGGGGGCTGCGTCCACAGGAACAACATCCACGGGAGGCACATCCACAGCGGCGGCATCCACGGGCGCTGCTTCTACAGGGACGTCCACCACAGCAGGCTCAGCGGCTGCCGCGGGGTCAGCCGCAGGGTCAGCAGCAGCAGGGTCAGCAGCAGCAGGGTCAGCAGCTGCAGGGTCAGCAGCAGCAGGGTCAGCCGCAGGCTCGACCGCTGGCTCGGCCGCAGGGGCTGCCTCTTCCACAGCCGGTTCGGCTTCAGCTGCCTCCACTTCTCCAGCCTCCTCTTCCTCGTCAGAATTTAGAGGAGCGCCAGCGGCGGCCGGGGCCGCAGCTTTAGGCGCAGCATTCCCTTCCTGTGCCACAGAAACAAAGAGAAATTCAGCATCTCAGATTTAAGGCCCACGTTTCTGCATGCGGCAACACAGTCTCCAAGAAAGCAAAAAATAGTGTGCTGTTCAAACTTTTAACAATCCCATAAAACCCTATAAGGACGTGGAACCAGCAGGTTATTTTTGATACTCCAAAGAAAAAAGAAATGGGGAAAAACATTATGAGACACACCAAAGAACACTCCTTACAGACAAATTAAATCATAAAAATATATTTTTAGATCTAACAATAATATCTATACACTATGCTTTTGTGCTGATAAGCAGCGTAGCTTCAGAGTCCTGGTTTTGCATTTGCTCATGTAACTGAAACCGATGCACTGTGATGTTCAGCCGCAAGTATTTTTAGCAACAGAGGGGGTTATTCACCAGGCCTCATTCCCCTACAACCCCGGTAGGAATAAACACTATAGCAAACGGATGGATAGTTATTTTGGCATTATTGCAGCACTCTGTATATTTCTACATGAGCACAGAGGCACAAAAACTACTGATGCTTTGCGTCATTTGGTACAAAATCCTTAGTTTGTATTGGAAAATGTAAGGTCCTTCATCGAGCAATGGAACCTGACATTTAATTCACTGCTACATGTTTACAGGTAAGTGACGTCCATGTTTTACTAAATAAAATGAAACAGCATCATGCTAGCTGTTCATGCACTACATGCTTATAAAACACTAACACTAATAAAACATTTCTGGTATAAGAAAACAGGGCTGAACACCCACCTCTGCCTCCTCATCTGAGTTGTCTCCTGTGGCGACTGGAGCTGCGCCCACCTACATTAAAAGTATAGATTTTCCAATTCAAACCTCATGATGACTTAGATGTGAAGATGAGAATTAGATGTTATAATGCTGAGTTCACACTTACTGCAGCAGCACCTGCTGATTCAACCTAAAAAAACGAATTATTCACAAATGAGAGCCCAATAAACCTCTGTCTTATCAGTTTAGTTCACATTAGTTTTCTTTAAAAATCTACAGCTAAAGTTGCGTGGGATCTAATCTTTAAACTTACAGGAGCATCAGCAGCAGGAATGAAGGGATTTCCATATAGTCCCTGAAAAAATAGACATTTGCGATTGAGGTTTAAAAGTCAATTCCAGATTTGTGGATTTGCTGTTATCTCTTTATTTACTGATGATAAAAATGTCAATCAAAAAACCCTCTACCTGCTGCTGGTACAGCCTGTACAACTCCATTAACCTCAGGGCTTCATTAGCATGTGCTGCGACCTGCTAAATAAATACCAGACATCTCCAGACATGAGTTGAAATAAACCCTACAATAGCTCAGATTGCAGACCCTCGTGATGCTGTATGATAGATCTACCCAAAAAAAAAACATGACATGACAAGACACGGCAGACAGAACTAAGAAATGATCCCTCCTACCTCATTACTGTCACTGTCTGGTGCCTGAAGTGCAAGAGGAAAGTGAGAAAGTGTTAATCAGTGCTAAAGAGCAACAGTGTTTGAATTCAAATTATCTGAGAGAAAAAAAAAGACTCACGGGAGCTGCAAAAGCAGCAGCGAGCAGGCACATCAAGAGCACAAACAACTTCATCCTGACTCTTGCAAAAAAGAGAAGAAAATGACATGTGATTCCCATGCTTGATAAATCTTCAATTTAAGACAATTGGAAAATGTTCAACTGCATAAAGATGCATTGTGTAGAATAATGTCTGCAAAAATATATCAGTTATTTTATTTGTATTCATTTAAATTCATCTCACCTTTGTTTTTCTGGTGTAGAGAAAAAGTGATGCTGCTCTTCAGAAATGAAACAAAGTCTACTTCATGTCTCGCTTGGATGGCATTTATACCCTGGAAGAGCCAATCACATCCAGTAAAATGTGCACAGCTATGTGTTTGAAGAAATCCTCTTACATGTCAAAACTGAAAAAAGTGGTATGTGGGGTTGAGGCCCTTGTTATAGTTAATTACATGCTGTGCAAGTATGCTAAACACACATGCTCATCTTTATTGCCCTAAAACCAAACTTTAAAAAAAGACACATAAGGGCATGCCCAACTTGAACAAAGAGCAAAAAATATAGGGGAAATGTATAGATGAGAGTTGTTCTCAGGAATGACTGCAATGAAATATGGTCATAACGAATGAGTAACAGGGTGGTGAGCACCATCACGTCTCACTCCACACATTGACGAAGTTCCACTGCTCCACAAAGTTCTGACTGACCAAGTCCGAAAAATTTCTAATTGAGTAACGTTTCACACATGTTGTTCTTTCACGCTATCTCGCGGCTTCGGTAATGTTTTTCTGTCTCTTCCGACACGCCCTGACTTTTAATCTTCAGCTGTCACAGCCCACAAGGAAAGACTGTCTGGCCCAATCCACACAATAGAGTTTCAAGCAGCAACCATTGACTTCAATGGAGGTCGATGTCTCATGTTGCAAATTTGAATTGTGGTTCATTTTATTCATTTGCTTCATCTTTATGGAAATCAAAAACGCCAAAGGAGCCAACCTAATCACCCAGCTAGTCATGGCTCTGATCGTACCACTTATAGCTTACCATGGATTGTACAATGTCTATAACAGCTTTCTGTTGTATTTTTACGTGTCTTTCACAGTCCAGCTGAATCTTGAAGTGGCTCCACCTTCTAGAAACTACAGCGACAATATAAATGACTGTAAAACTGAGGTATTACCAGTCGATAAGAATTGTATTCTTGCTTCATATACATATGTAGCTGTTCAAGTGAATTCTCCGCAAATGCCTGATGTTCTTTCATCATTTTGAAGAATGATTCTGAATGTTAGCGCTTGTGTTTGAGTATTTCACTGTGCTCCACACAGGTTGAATGCAGCAAAGTTCGCACAAGTTGTCTAAAAAGCTTTTTCTTTACTAAATCATTTAAACTTGCACTTACTGCGAGTGTTAAAAACACACACATGGCTAATGGGCAGTATGGTGTCTCTTTGTGTTTGCTTAACTGGTGTGGTTGTAGATCACAGCAATTTTGAACTTTGCAGGTCTCTCATGTTTGTTTTTTCTTCTGGTTCCAGATCAGATAATGAAAGACTTGCTGTGAAAACTGCAAAACTGTATCCCAGACAATTTTAACTCACATCTGCTGAGATAATGACTTTCACTGAAAGATAACAATCTTTTCATTAGCTCTTCAAAAGCTCCACCACTGCATTGACGCCACACTGTGAGATAAGTTCTCAAAGGTTGCTGAGGTTAAAAGGCAATTGTTGTCTGTTCCAACACGAATACAAGTCCTATGCCAACTCAATTAAATTGTACCGTTTAATAACTAGAGAAAGGGTGCTGTTGTTTAATAAACAGGTGTGATTTGTCAATTCACGCTTGTGCCTTTTCCTTTTTCTCAAACAGCTGACTGGGTTTGGTGTTTCTGATCATGAGCAATCTTACTTTCCTTTGCAATCTGCTCAATGGACAAAGTTAAAATAGTTGTGGGACAATTCTATAAAAAACTCAAGCAAGTTCCCAGGAAACTAGGACTATCTGTTTTGTCCATTTTAGACAATTCTGATAGCGACACAACTTCATAAATAATGTTCACCCACAGATAGGCTATTGACATACAGAATTTCTGTTCTCTTAATGTTCATGGGTGTCCTCACGTATAATTTACAATGACTTGTTCGTCGACTGTAGCCATCCAATGACCCCAGGGCCGGTTCCTGTTGTGACAAGCCCAGATCATGTGGCTTACCCAGCACACCATCGGGCAGGCTATTAGAAAATGTTAGTGTCTGTTCTCATGTTCTGCACTGATGTAAACAACCTGTCTGTATTAAAGCCCATCTGTGAAGAAGTATGAAAGAAAAAACTTTAAGCTGTTGATTTTGTTAAATTTAAGTGAATACACACATGTAGAGCACAGGGGATGAAGATCAGAATATATGAAAGTGTCAATACTAAACCAATTTTTCTCAAAGTAAATCTGCTGACAGGATGTCTTTGTTAAAAATCTGTTTACATCAGTTTTTTAATCATATTTCAGCATGGAAATTTTTTTGCTAGGATAATATCCCCTTCTATATATATGTATATATATATAACGATTTCATAATAATCTTGTAATAAGCTTACTGCAGTCATTAGTGGGGGCTATACTGTAGAGGGCGCCATTATACGTTACATGCTTTCTATTACACATCGACTCCCGGATTTCTTTTCTCACTGATACTGTTAAAAAGTTGCGTTGTGTACATATAGTGTGGTCACTCTGTAGTCAAGTATATTTGGTGTACATCCTGCATTACAATTCCATCCCTCATTTTTTGTTCTGGGAAGCTTTCCATCTTTTGCATGCTGTTGAGTTTACTCCTATCCTTCCACCACCAACCTACCTACGCTGTCCACTTTTACACAGAAACAGAGTATTTTTAACCAAGGTGTTTAATGCATAACTCAAGTCTTTTTTTTGTGCTTTATTTTCAACATCTGTAGTTCCTATTCTTCATCCTCGGGATGTTTATGACTTTTCTGTTGGGAGCAAGCTTCTCTCAAAATTAGTGGAGCCCTTTTCACCTGCCAGCTTTCTATATTGATTTATTGATGAAAATCATGTTCTATTGGGCCCAATTTTCTTTTACTTTCTTTACCTCTACCCATCCAGATCTGTGTAAACCGCCTCCGGCTATTACCTCATATTTCACTGCAGATCAGTTTCTGTCAAATATATGTCTGATTTTTATTTCATCGTGTTTTAAGCCCTCATATTGCAGGCAGTCATAAACTGGTTGTGGAGATTAGATATTTCACAGCTGTCAGCTTATTCCCATATAGAGTGGGTGTTTTAGAGTTCAAGTAAATAAAACTTAGTGAAGTCGAGGAAGACATTGCATGAGACTGTCAAATATGTGCTGGAAGTGTCTTTGAAAAGATAATTATTGAATCATGTTGTGACGGGCTTTAGTCCCCAGGGGTGCCTGTAGCTTTTCCTTTTTTGCTCTGTCTTTTTTCTTTGACAGTAACATTTAACTCTTTGGAAAGTTACCCAACCGTGTTTAAATGTTTATCTTGAATTAAATCAAGCTTTTCCACTCAAAAGACATTGGAGGAAAGGACAATTGAGAAAAAAGAGCAATTGCTTCAAAATGTTTATTTCTTAAAATAAGAATACATGAAAAGAGAGGATAGAATCAACTAAAATACAGTGACAATGTGTGATCACAGTCTGCATTCTACAATAATTCACTGCTAATCAAAGACCTCAGGAATCAGATATTTCTTCTGAAAATTACTCACTCTACACAACTGCCCCTCTCACTATGTAACTTGTGAATGTTTGGGAATATTAAAAAAGACAAAAGTATTTCTTGAAGTTTTTCTTGCTGAAACAATGTTCCTACACATGATGAACGCAGAGGGTGAAGGAATTGTTCACTCCCTTACATCTTTGTTGGCATCTACAAAGACAGAAAAGCAATCAGCCACAAATGTATTCTTTTTCGTAGATTTGTCAAAAGACAATACATCTGCTTGCAAATAAATTGAGAAATGATTGATACCTGGTTTGTCTGTGTGGGTTGGTCCTGCTGGAGCGGTTGGAGTGGATCCTGAGATGGCACAGCGTTGGTATCAAAGAGTGGGCTCTGAGCGAAGAAAGCAAACACAAGAAGACAATGGAGAAACAGAACTTCAAAGCACAGCAAGAGTCTGGATTCCCATTTAATGTTTCTTGTTCTCACATTCACGGGTTTCTGGGGAATGCTTTGGGGAGGATATCCGAACGGAAGAACCTGTGACAAAAGAAAAGTCGTTCAGTCAAATATGTTTTTACTAATACCTGAAAAGTTCAATGAAATTTTTAAAGAAAAAAGAAAGCACTACTCACGTCTGGTGAAACAGGATTATTTGTCATAGGAGGCATGTTTTGCACCACCTGAAGCAAAAGTATCGCCATTTTCAGAACTGTGCTGTACATAAATACTTGCTTTTAAATATGCATAGAATATATACATGAAAGAATAAAATATTTACCCTTTGGTTAGTGAAGTCAAAGGGGTAGAACTGCGAATTGAAAGAAACAGGTTCACAAAAATATTAATTATCCTTATTCCAACTGGTGTTTATTGTACCAAACATACTCTTAGAAGCAGCAAATGAACACTTACGACTTCTAAGCTCTGTCTGCCTGGTGGCTGAGGAATGGAGACCTTCACCAAACCGTAACGGGAGAAAGGCTGCAAGTAAAACCAGTAAGAAGCAAAGGCAGTTATGTATTCTTTGAATGTCTTTATATTGCGTAGAAAACTTAGTGGAAATTAATGTATGATTGCCTGTTCTGGGTTTGGTCCACCTGCTCCACCAGCAAATCCGAATGGATAAATCTGTAAGAAACATAGATGTACATTCAACCACATTCAATACATATTAATACATAATGATAAAATGTATAAAGTGAGTGGACAACATGTGTGACATACATATTCCAGACTGTAACCTCCAGGAAGTCCAGCTTTAGGGAAGCCTGCTATGAGGGGGCTTTTCACCTGAATTAAAATAGAGAAACTCTGTAATTTCTTTGCAAGTGGTCATGGTAATGTCATTCTAAACAATTACCATTTTAAAAGAAATACAAATAAAGCTGTGCAAAGCATGTAAGAATACCTGTGAAGGTGACAACTGCTGTCTGATACCCGTGTAATGCGGCAAGTACTGGAACTGAAGAGAGAAACGACAATTGTTTGAGCACACATTAAACACAGCATTTCTCTGCTGGTTTTGCACTGGTTATCTACCAATAAACTTACTGGTACAGCACTGGCTGTGCCAGCCAAACACAGGCAGAAGATGGCCAGTTTCATTTTTGTCCTGCAGACATGAAATTCAATTAAAAAGATTCTGAAAAGATCAAACTGGGAATTCACTTTCTGATCGTTGTTCTGTTTTGTATGCATGTACTCACCCTCTGCAATAAAAACAATGTGCCCTAGAAAGAAGGCAAAAATGAGGAATTTTAGGAAAGAGATGATGCCAGCTGGTTGTATCTTGGCCTACATAGAGCTACTTTGACTTTTATAGGGTGTCTGGTCCCTTGGGAGCCTATTACAGCCAAGGGGTGTGAATCAGCCCAATGAATGGTTAGTGGTGATGTCTAGTCATCAGCTTTACTAAATGACCAGTGGTCAAACCTGCTTTCTGTCTAATAGCAGAGTTAGCACCATGTCTGGGGCAAAGCACATCTATTCCCATCATCTCTCATTCTGCTGCCATGACATCTTTAGTCAGCTGTAGGTTTGCAGTATTTTCCATTTTCAATATTCTTAGTCTCATGATCTGTTTCAGAATCAGTAAAAGCGATTGGACTGAGTATCAGTCTGTCTACGATTTGATCCCAAGCTTTTATTTTTATCTGCATGTCAAATTGTGTAAATAAGTTGGTGCCCTTTGAGAATGACTTCTGGAAATGTCAAGCCATCTTCAAACTGTTTAATTAATATGCATTATCAGAAGTCTTCATAGATAACTCTACAAATGTTTGATATATGCCACTGTTGCAATGGTGCCCCATGTGTGTGCACATAGATTTGAAAATTGGACTGCACATCCTTCTGGTATGCACACCGATCTGAGTTATTCCAGGAACAACTCCTAGAGTACTTAACAGATGACGATGTAATTATAGCTTATAAGTAAAACTTCCTTTTGCATATGCACGTTACTGTTACTGTTCACTCTGTTCAAATGATCAAGATACACATGTTTTAAGGGCATTCTCTGACTTCGAATGCCATTAAGTTCCCTTCCTGGCAAAGTTTAAAACCTTTTTAAAAAGTGAGCCATCGTGGCCACTGGTGAATAATTAATATACAAGATGATAAAGCAAATCATTGTGTAGAAACTGCAAAATGTTGAGACTTGATGACATCTAGAGTCATCCACATGTGCATAATTTAAAAAACCACAAGAAAACAGGTGAATGCATTCAACTCATTTATTATGAAGCACAAAGATTAGACGTTTGATTGAGAAAACGTTAAACAAACTGTGAGACAATTACATGCAGGGACAAAGGGGGGGATGAATTATCGCCAGATCTTGTTCCATTTGCAAAGAAAGTAGCACTTCTATATTTTTTTATGATTGAAAAACCCTAGCACCATCTATATAGAGTGGATTTCTGGCCGGTTTCTTTTTGTTGAAGCTGGTTGTCGGTCGCACACCATGGGTCACCTTGAACAAGAATAAGACATTCTGAGTGATGTTTTGTAAGGATATGCAGTAGTATGACTGAAAACTTGACAGTTGTTTTTGTGTCTCTGTCGTACCTGTTTGCACACACCAGTGCAAAAAAACTGCTGATACAGACATCCTCAGTCATCCTCCTCCTCATCATCATCACTGGGTTTGGCGGCCTAAAATGACAGAGGCATCTGCTGAGCCAATCGGGAGTTAGATCTGTCTCCAACATGTCATCTGGTGAGTCAGTGTTTCTCAACAGCTCAGCAGAAACAGTTGGAACGATCTTCCATTGGCGCAACACGCATTTACTGGAATGAACCTGTTGCCCCTCGTCTCCAGCTCTGCTACAGTCGTCTGCTTTTATCATCACAACAAATCCCATAGTACCGTCAACACTGCACATGGTGCATTTTGCTGAAAAAAAAGGTCCAGAGTGAGAGTGGTTGGTAGTTCTTACAGGGGCAGCAACAACAGGTGCAGCTGGGGCAACGGGGGCTGCCACGACGACGGGAACGACCGGGGCGGCGGGGGCGGCCACAGCGGGATCGGGCACGTTGAATCCAAAGGGGTAGAACTGGAGGAAGTTACAACGGAATTAGATTATTAGTTTGAAAAAAATCTCACAAAAAAAAAACTCCCTGCCTAAAAGCTTCAACTCTGCCTGTGGTGTACTTACCACCTCCTCATCTTGTCCATTGGGCTGGGGAATCTCCTGCTTAATGAAGCCACGGACCTTTCAAAGAACACATATTTACATGTCTTTATTGGCCCTAAAAACTGAAGTGCATCTGGTATAAGTCCTTTGTATTTTGTGTACTTGTCTGTCTATACATCAGAATTTAAGGATTTGTAGCATTGACCATCGTTATTAACAATTTCCCAGCCGGCTTTTATTATTCCATAATAGTTACAACAGTAACCTTAACTGTTTTCCTTTGTAAATATCAAACTGCAAAGTGCCACTTACTGGTCCTCCAACAAGTTGTTTCTGGCCATCAACCGGGAGCAGCTAAAAATGAAAATAGGAATAATTTTCAAGAGAAAGAAAGAATGATCACTTGGTATAAATGTGCATCGGAGAGCTGAAACATGATGATATTTGGCTCTTACAACTTCCAGGCGTCCAGCTGGTACTCCAGCAGGGATAGCCTGGGCGGCCTGTGTGGAAAATATTAATCAAAGACAACTGAGGCATACGCGATATAAAGTAAAACAGGCTTACAGCAGATTACCAAAAACAAAAATGAGCTTACTGACTGATCCCTTAAAATGGGTCTATACCATACCTGAGCTGGGGCATGGTGGATGTCAAACTCCATGTACATCTGCGGCTGTTTGTGAGGAGGAAATTATACAAATTCAAGAAAATGTTAGGACGTCTTATAGAAATTACTCAGACAAACATGTTTGGTTGAATACTTTTCTGAGACACATAAAGACGAATACTAAGTGGAAAAAAGCATCAATTGGACATCTATCTATAAAATTTGAGACAGAGTTTTCGAAGTGATTATATGCAGAATTCGATATATATACAAAAAAAGATGTGTGACAGAGAAAAAAAGAGAAAAAACATTGAAGTTATAAGGAGGTTTTTCTTACAGGGGCGCAGAAAGCAATCCCAAGGATGCAGGCGGTAAGCAGGATGAATTTCATCTTGGCTTAGGGTTAGCTGTGAAAGAAAACATTTTTTAGACATTGCAGTTTGTGTTATTCTCTTCAGAGCTCCAAAAAGATGTAAAATCTCTGGGAAGATTTTACACCACATTGGTGGTCTACATTACCTTTCCTTTCTGGTAGCTTGTGTGCACTGAAGGGCTCCTGAAGAAGAGTGTGATTAGTGATGGGTGATCCGCTCCTATTTATTTGCTGACAAAACAAAGGACGTGCAAACTTTCGACAGGTATTGGTGATAGGCCAATAAAAATTGCTTTATGATCTCAAAACTGGCAGGCTTGTCTCCGTGAGAATTCCCCCGAAGACTTTTTTGGCTCTAAACATTGAAACATGACATTAATCACATGTGTTCTTTCAATGATGTGATTTATAAGGTGCATCTGTGCAAGAGGTTTGACACTTGAAATTTTATGGGAAATAACATTTTTATAAAAGGATTAACTGTATACTGTCTGTATACCCTTTACAGACAATGAATGAAAATAAATGATGGGAAAGTTTTACTCTGACTCCAGATCAATAGTATATTTTATTTAATTTTTTTCCTCTGATGCTGTACACTTTAGCCAAATACATGATGATGTTCTTCATGGTACTGGTGGATTTCTGTGACACAGCGAAGAACCTGTTCTTTCATTTCTTGCCTTTTGTTTGTAAGGTTTTTGTGCATAGGTGACATGTATTTGAAAGTGGGCATAAGTCAAAGAGAATGTGGAAAGACTTGCAGCACAGGACCCCTAAAGCTGGGCCTGGAACACGGACAAAGTAGGCAAAAAGCCTCTGTACAGGTGAGCCATTTTTTGTTGAAAAAAGATGCCTCTTCAAATGAAAAGGTTATTTCTCTGAAATAGACACAGCTTGACAGAGCAGAACACCCCATTCCTCATGTGTGGAGAATCTCATAAAATAACTTTAATTTTTGTTTCTTTTTGTGACTACTCTTTAACCTGGCACTGTGGAGTGAACGGATGGCTTCAGTTCCATGAGCAGACACTCCAGTCTCAGCAGTTTTGCTCCTTCAAGCCCAGCTTTCATTCTGTTTCTTTCATCTCTGATTAATGACTTTTTTGTCTGCTGCTTGATTTTTGATGGTCTGCCACTTCGAAGGAGGTCCATCGTGGTGCCAGACTCTATCACTTTCACAGAGTTAGCTGCTGGGCTGCCCTCTGACATATGAAATTATTCTGATGTATAATATTCACTTGTTCAGAATGATTTATTAAGAGTCTCCTTGGTATTTTTTGTGCTGGTTTCTTTGTGGAGTCTCTGGAGTCTGTGGAGTCTCTTCTCTCTATTAACACATTTCTTGTAATTCATATGACAAAACACTTCTTTTCACTTCTTTTTTTAGTTTTGTCACATGAAATTGACAAACATAGTAATTATTATTGATAACTTAATGATTATAGGTTGCCGGGATTGTTGGGCTCAAACTGTGAGGGATCGGCTAAGAGTGCATAATTTCCATTCTGGATTTGCCAACATGAAGTCCAGACCTCAACTCCTCTGAGAATATTTTGGAGGTGCTGGACCAGCATAAACACACAGTTTTGGCAGAAATGTTGCCACTTTGGATGGAAATTCATGTTGTTACATTGCATAAGACTACTATAACTCTGCCTCAGTAAACTGCAATTGAGCAAAAAGTGGTCCAAAAATATTAAATTGAGTGACTTCTTTTGGCTTTGTCTGTGAGTCAAAAATCTTTTTTTATTTGACATATGATGTTTATTCATGCAAAATAGAACACAAAAAAATGTATTGAGTGACGTTACAAATCCGATAGATATTTTATTGGAAACAAAAAAAACTATCCTACATTTTGCACCACTGCAGCATTAGGTTTTCTCTGTAGGTATGGGACGTTTATGTCTGCTGATGGCCGCAGACTCACACCGGGTTTCTGTGTGTGGGCTGGAGTTTGGGCTGAGGAGGGGTTTGGACTGTGGAAACCTCTGGTGCTGCTTTCTCCAAAGCTGCAGGGAGGTTGTTGGCACTCGCTTTGGACTCCGAGCAAGCCGCCCTCTGTAACGGTTGGGCTCCGGCCGCTGCGCTTCGTACAGTTTGACCGGCCCCTTGCTGGTCTGGGTTCGCCATTCCAGCCGCCTGGGTCTGAGGCTGAACAGCTCCTCCGGCCGTGGGTAGATTTGAGAGCAAAGTCGGCATGAACATGCCTAACCTGCTCATTTTTGCTGCAGTCTGCAACAGAGCAGAGAGGAGCAACAGTGTGAGAGGAATGGGAGGGTGATTTCCTCATCACCAGGATCACTGAGTTCACTAAACAGACTGTTTAGACATGCTCAGAGACTGATAAAAATCTGGGCTGTCTTACCTCAAGTTCCTCCGAGCTAAGACCGCCAAGTGAAGGGTTCTAGAACAGAATGCCAGCACATGACAAATTTATATTCTCAGCAAGAAAATTGGGAAATGACAAAAGCTGTGTTAATATTATTGGGTATTCACCATGGATTGTTGTAGCATGTACAAAACCTGAGGAGTCTGTGGATGAGAGATAAGGCAGTGGTCATAACGCAGCTGTTTACTTCCAATAAGTTTGCCGTAATCTGAAGATAAGCATGTGCTTTTTGAAATATAAGAAAGACCTGTTGCTGTGTTTGTTGGGGCGCTGCTCCTGACGGTACAGCTGGAACAGCTGGAGCCGCAACGTTTTCTACAGGACTGTTCGGGAGCTGCTGTGCTGGACTCTGGGGGAAGGATGGCTCAGCCCGCACTGGGAATCCATATGGGGAGAGCTATGTGAGAAAGATAAAGTTTATTTATTCCATTCAGCTTTTGTCCACGCTGGTTTAAGAGATTTAGACAAGCAATATATATAAAATGGAGAATTAACAGTACATTTCATGGCCATCAAATGTGAGACTTTCTCTCAGTACAATAAATCAACTAGAAATATTGTGAAAAAGTGCAGACATTTTTATTCGCACAACTCTGCCTGTTGTGAAAGAGTCTCAGGTGATCTGAGTTTTCCTTTGAAAGCACATAAAAAGAAATCATTGCATTGTAGAAAAAATGTTTTGAGACCCCAAGCGGCAATCTTTCAATCTGATTTGGGTTGCGGTTAGAATTTCTTCTTTTTTTCTTTTTCTTTTGGTATGTACGGTCTATGGTATATACCTGCAATGCTTTGTAGTGTGATTGAAATGGCTGCAGGCACTAACACAGTGTGTGTTTATAATAGTATCTTACCAGCTGATTGCTATAGGGTGATGAAAGCACCGGGACGTACCCATAAGGTGGAAACATCTGGAGACAGCACAAACGTCAAATTAGAACATTGTGTATTTATGTTGCTGTTGCTCAAACATTGGAATAGAACATATAGTGGAGTTGGACATAGTTTTTGTTTCATTTCCTTTTCCTCTCTTTACCAGAGGCTGCTGTGCCAGTGTGAGTGGGTTTGCAGGCAGAGATCCATGGACGCTGTGCTGCAGGGGGATGAGCAGAGGGCTGCCTCCTTGTGGAAACCAGGTGTACAGTGGCACCGAAGGCTGGGCGCCACCCTGTGGAGCCATTGGCTGTGGAGCCATTGGCTGTGGTTGCTGTAGGCTGGGGGAGAGAGGAGCTGGTGTTTGGGCCTCAGGCTTCCCGTTTGTCGCTTCCCCGAGCTGAGCTCTTTGAGTGGCTCCTCCTTGTGACAGCTGAAGAGAAATAACAAAGTTAGACTGAATGATTATCAAAATAAGTGACAGAAGGACCACTCAGACATAGGTAAAGTTGGAGTAATATTTTAGAACTTCTTGAGTCTACTCACTGGCACAGCAGACACCATGACAAAGGCACATGACAGCAGGACCACTGCAATCATTTTCATCATGTATAGAGAATCAATATCGTCCTCAAATGTTCTCAGAAGACCTGTAAAGACTTTCAAGCAATAACTGCTACAGAGCACTGTGAGTGAATTCACTCACACCGCCTGGATGGGAGCACGGTCTTATGCGTTGCTCACGGAGTGAGATGACCAATCACAACGCAGAAAAAGCAGACAAAATCCACCTAATCATTTGTTCCAAATTAAGCAGTTAGAAACCAACCAGAAATTGTTCTGAATACCTCGAAGTGCAGGTTATTTTCCCACTGCAATGCTGTAATGTCTGTACAAAAGAATAAAAAATCCCTGACGAGGACAGGGCATGGGCTTCCTGTTAGCTCAGAGCACCTGTGGGTGTGGCTGATGTGTAAGTGTCTACCTGGTGTAATTACCAGACCATATATGTGGAATTTGCAAAAAAAAAAGTCAACTTTATTATGACGATGCAAACATATACACTGTAGTTAGACTGTCTGGCACAAAGCAAATACTGAAAAACACACAGAAAAATCTGTTTTTCTTCACGTGCGGAGACAGTGGAAATCAGCCACTGACTGCATGTGTGTATGACAGGAAGAGAGGACAAAATTTTTTTTTTTTTAATTGACACTATGGGCATAAATATCTGTCTGCTTTGTTTTCTGAAAGCTTTATACTGATGCAGTCTAAGCTCAGTTAAGTGCTTGGAGTTACGTGATGGCAGATCGTCCCGTGACCCTTTTTCTGCGGAGTAGAAAATGGATGGATGGAAAGAGTTTTGATTGACTGTATTAAATTACCATTCAGCAAAATATGCAAAGCACAGGTTCATCGTACCAAGTGGATTTATTTGTAGTTAATTCCAGTATTTCAAGTATAATCTGTGGGTTTTTCAATATGGTCATTTATATATTTCTAAATAGAATATAGGCAATATAGAGATTTCCCAGGTGGTTTGGGGCACAAAATGCCATGATTTGGAAAAAGTGAGGGTAACTATGGTTACTAAAGACCTAACTGAATTTACTGGACTGGAGTGATACAAAAATATGATACACAAAATATGAGATTATAATTCTTAACAATTTTAAGAGAAAATGTCTTGCATTTCATTGAAGATAACATTTTCTAGAATGATCTTGTTGCTATTACTTGATTTATGATCTCCTGATATTTGAGCTATATACTGATTATACAAACTATAGACCTGTATTCACTGTAGTCTTTGCAAAATACTGGCAAAAAAATAGCCTCCACAAATAAACTTTTTCAGAGTATATCTTATTTTTAAAATGCATCACATCCATGCTCAAACATACAAAAAGGACATTTTATCAGTGCACATTCAAAAGAAATCAAATCTGTTTGGAGGACATTAAAGGAAACGTTTGTGAAATTGTTTGACATCCATTATGATTATCTATAAAAATTGAAGAAATTATATTTTTTGAGACAAAGGCTAAAAAGCCAACAGTGCAAAAGAATGAATGAGAATATTTATCAAGCATCCACATCAGAAACACAGTATGACAGATTTTACAGGTGAAACAGAGTCAGTAATTATCAGCTTACATTCATCCCCTTCCTAAGCTGTGTTTATCCAGGGATGTCTATATGTATGCCAACTGATTGGATATTACACTGGCGTGTCAGCAGCACCCTAGACTGTGTCTGCAAGACCTGCCTCCGACATAACTCATCGTTACTAAGAGCCTGTCTCAGTTTAGCATATTCCAGAAAATATCACTGCATTTTATATATTTCTATTTCAAATTCATTTTGATTTCATGAAAGAAAGTGTGTTCATCCCCCCCCCCCAAAAAGAAGAATTTTAGAAAATAATTTAAAAGCAAATACATTCATGTTTTTGTTGATTTTTTAGCAGAGTCTATTCAGAAAAAATACTATTATGTTGCATAAAAAAGCAAAAGACAAACAGATCACATTGCCTTGTTACTGTGCACTCCAACAGTCATTGGAAAGTCAAAGCAAACATTCACACCGCTGTTGCTGTTCTCAGATCAGAGCAGTTCAACTGCCATCTCCTCTTATCTCCGTGGTCTGGGGGGGTTGGGTTGTGGTTGGCGTTGTTGTTGGCGTGGTAGTTGGAGTGGGGGGTTTTGGGCACAGAATAGGAAACAGAGCACAGATGTCAATCGTAGACCACGGGTTGCATCTCTGGAGCATTTTAAAAAACAAACAAAACATTAAATGACAGTAGGTGAACAAAATATATACACTATTCACAATTAGTCATTGAATTATTACCTCATTGCTGTTAGACTCACTGCTTGAGCTGCCCCTTCCAAAACAGTTCTAAAAGAAGGAGTCAATGTGAATTTTACTTTCAATGTGAGCAGAAAAATGTTTGCAAATGATGGCAATTTTTAATACAGAAATTAAAGTTTTGCACTTACTGTTGCATAGGAGTCAGTAAAGAGGAAGATCATGAAGAATAAGATTTTCATCTTGCAAAGGATGCTGGAATTCCAAATCTCCTTAGAAATGGTGCAGAGTAAGAGCCGAGAACAAGAATAAACAGTTTTGTGATGAAGAAAAGATCAAGCTCATGGACTCCTTTAGATGGTTGCTTCAGGAATCTCAATTAGCTTTTAAACAGCCCCAGTATGTCAACAATGCTCTCCCACTCCAAATGTGTTACTTCATCTCAGATATGGTTGGCTGGAGACAAAACATACAGAGGCGTGAACTTAGTTTCATCACTAGATTCAGTTGTGTTTGCATTATTTAAAATGTCCACATCCTGGTATTAATCCCGATAGGCGTAAAGATGTCCTCCCAATGTTCAATTTTCTCAGCTGAGCACACACACACACATACACACGCACACACACAAACCACACAAAAACACAGGTTGACTGTACTTGGACCCAGACAACTATTCATATGTGTGAAGCAATATGTGTTGCACAGAGGTTTATTTTCCACCTGAAAAAGCAATATCTGCTTAGTGATTTCCAAATCCTGGAATCATCTTGTGAAACATGGTGGACCACATCCATTTCCTCTGATGCAGTCTTTAAGGCTTGCACTATGATGCTGGTTCTTTTTAGGATTTCTTTCACGCTAACAGTCTTGGACTTATTTTCTGACTCAACATTACCTGTGCTTTTCCACTATCTGCAAGCCTTCCCGCAGAGTTGAACATTACACGTTACGGTGGTTTCAGCAGAAAAACGGACAGAGTACACAGCACAGGCCCACCTCCCAGCACTGCCAGTGTCTCTCCTGCCTGGGTAGCATCACAGTCATTCACAGCTTGGACCATGTTGGAGAAACTTTGCGTTTCAGAGAGTTTGATAATATGGCCCAGTGTTCATGCAACTCTTTCTGTTTATAAGCTGAAACACCCTGAGGGGTGTAGATCTGAAAAGCCTTTTGGATGAGATGTCAAATGCCTTAGGGATGCAGAGGTCCAGTTGGCTCTACTTAAACTCTTGTCAAGCCCACTTCTTTAAAAATATAGATGAGAATGTAATGCAGAGTCATCCAGAATGTGATGACAGCAAAAGGTGAGAAAAGGCCACGATTTCCATTTTAAAAACTTTCCGTAAATATCTCTTGGAGGATTCTGGCAGGCAAACAGTTTTGTGTTTGGCGTGAAAAGCTCTCAGTGGGTGAAAGATCTGGACTTTAGGCAGGCCAGTCCACCAAATAAAAACATATGCTATTGTAATGGGAATTGTGAATATGCCATACGCCTCTGAATAGGCCTCTGTTAAAAGTTTACAGAGACACAGACATTAAACCTCAATCAAGGTTTTTAGTCATGCGTTTAGGCTTTTGGACGATAATATCAGGTTTTAGTTATTCTCATTATTCCTTTTAGGATTTTTCTTTCCAGCTTAACAACAATGTTCACTCCGCACTAATGAGGCGCATCTGATGACTCTGAAAATGTGTGAAGGGGTTGCTATACTGACAAAGGGCAGGGCAGGTCTGAGAGTAATAACTGCAGCTGAGGAAAGAGGAAGGATTTATGTTGCATTTGCTGTTGCAATGGGATTTGGCTTGATTCATTTGTTTTAAAGACCTACGTGTATTATTGACTGTTTTGTAATTGTTTGCAAAGAATCGAAATAACGCTCTAATAAACCTTTTTTTTTATTGATAATGGGGGGGGGGGGTTAAGGTGAAATGAAGTGATTTATTGCCTGATATCAGTTTTATTTAGATGCTCTTTTATCTGGTCTTATCATTTTCATTATGATCATTATTATTCTCACAAAAATGTTATACATTTTATAAATGTATTTATCAAAAGGTCTGTTTTCAGTTTTCTTTTCTTTTCCTTGTCCTCTTCAGCATTATGGCAGCAGAACTGAAATCTGAGTACCATGCTATGGCTGAACACATTTGCTTCAGGGAGGCTTTATTGGTGAGAAGCCCCCCTTGATTATCCGACACGGCTTTATCAAGCTAGTTTGGACCTTAAGCTGTCCTACAAACTCATGTTTTTTTAGAAAAATCAAACAAACAACAGACATGTGTTTTAGTTGCTGTTTATTTCCTAATACACAGAGAAAAATAAGATTCAAATCAACCTGAAACCTCAACACAATTTTTTGTGGTTATAGATGCTCAGTTAAGATGACGTATCTGAATTTCATTATCACAAAACAAAGTCGAAAACAGGTTTCATTCTACAGGTTTTACAGTTATACAGTAACTGTAGTAGTTGCAGCTGTAGTTGTAGATGGGGCAGTGGTGGTCACTGTGGCTGCAGTAGTTGTAGAAGTTGGTGCAGTTGTAGTTTGTTGGCACTTGAGGATGGCGAGTAGCCACTGAAGCCACCGTCCCCTCAGACCGGGAGGGCCATGGGGACGGCCCGATTGACGATGGCCCTGCCACGAAGCCAGATAGAAGCGTTCACATTTGCAGCACAGAAAAGGATCTTCTAACAATAGGAAAGAGATTTGCCTCCTGATGTGGAACAGAGTGCTGACAAATATGAAATAAGGTACTGACCTGTTGGAACAGGGAGCCAGGACGTGAACGGTCCACTCGTTTGGATTCTAACACATTCTGTTGCCAAACAAACCAAAACACAATGCTCTATATCAACACAATATGTATGCATTTATAGTTATAGATGTTTTCCCCATAAGTCTTAGTAGAAAGAGGCTGACAGAGTGTTAGAGAATAGCATACTTACGGAATCAGCCAAAGCAAAGCTCAGGAGGGCTCCAAGGATAAACACTACCTTAAACATGGCGTCTCAAAACACTTGTAGGATGAGAATGACAAATTACAATACTGATCAGGCAAATTGATCTGTGAAATCTCAACATGATGCAGCAAAAAAGAGACAAAAGAAGAATGTTATAGATACACTCACGTCTTCACGACAGCAGCTGGAAGACAAGATGGGGATGATGCTTTTTCTAGTTTGGCTTCTTTATATATTGTGACATGGTCAGACTGAAACTAATTAGCATTTTGCAGTGTTGGGAAATGTCCTATTATTAGGAAATCTTCAACCTACGGATTTCGAGTTGAAGAAATAGATAAGGGATAAATCAAAGACACATGTGATGTGTGTCTTTGATTTGAAGATTGGAAACCTCTTGTTAAATTAAGGATTTCAGTGTGTGGTTCTGGGGGTAACATCACAAAATAGAGTGGAAATTGGTAAAGATAGAGAATAACCAAACAAATACTACTAAAAGTAGATCAAGAGCACAGCATGCCTAAAATACACCAAAATGTGAAAATGTCCAATTCACGGTGTAAGAGTTCTGCAGGACAGGCCAATAATTAGAAAAGGCAATAGCATCTATTGTAAAAACTAAACTTTAAGATCTGACTGATCAACTGTTAAGTTGTGTAACATGAAACTGGTACAACCCTTTCAGCAGGAAATAGGCTGATATGTTATGTCTGTGGTGAAAACCACCACATCTTATTGTCTTTACATTCCTTCTGTTTGTTATCTATGTTTGGTTGTTGTTGTTTCAAAAGATTTAGTAGCTACAGAAAAGACCCGGGATAAAAAAAAACCCTTGGCATTTGCAACATACCAGTGCTATTATAGGATCTCATGTCTACCCCGCCCAAATCTTACCATGAAATACTTAAAACATGACTAAAATTAGCAGAAAATTACTCAAGATTAAATGAGCTTTTGTTACACTGACACACAAGACCATTTCAATAACAGTCCTTTGGATGCATTCTCAGAGCAAATATATAGCATTCATGTAAATGAACTACCCATATTTAATGCAAACTCCTCCGAATCGTGAAAGGAGCACTGCACAGTTCACACAACAGGGACTTAAACAGAACATGACAAGAAATAGCTAATCTTTGATGCATGCTTAATTAAAATAGTTGCTCCTTTTGAAAGATGATTTATATGGCATATATATGATGGCATACATCAAAATGAAGGTTGGACAAACTGTCACTGCAGAGTTGCATGCAACTTTTTTTAACCATTTTAGTCGTATTTCTCTCTCTCTTTCGCCCTCTCATTGTGTTGACAAATGTGCAACTGAGTTTTAGCTTATTGATGACCGTGAGTTTTAAAAAAACAAACAAACAAACAAGATGTTAAGGGGAATCGTACGGCTCAGAAACATCTGCTTTTCCCTCAGACGCTCTCAAGTTTAGCACTGCCAACATACTGTTGTTTTTCTTCATTTTAATAGTCCCGCATAAGCACTATAGCCAGGTATGTCAAATGGCAACACAACCACTGGCAGCCAAATCAGAACTTATGTCAAAGGTGAGGACTTTAATATAAAAGAATAAGGTTAATCAATACATTATCTGAAATCAGCGAAAAACAAATTAATCATACAAAAGTATATTGTCTTACCAAATTAATGTCTGGCTAATGGAGAGAAGTTAGCCTGACAACGTTTAAAAAGAGTCTCATAGTGTTGAGAAATAAGTTATGAAATTATGTATTTGGAAGGCTAAACCTTCCAACCTGCTTTAAACTTGTCGATCCTAATCCTGCATTTAATATTTATCAAGTTAAGAAACTGTGAAATGGTGTTAACTGGACATAATTTATATTTACAGCATAGTTTGGCAGGTGCGCCGCTTAATACAAATAACATGCCAAAAACGTATTCTAATAGAACTGGTATTTTTCTGAAGCCCATATTGCCAAGGTAAAGATAATGAATATGTGTATAGTGGAAATGTTTGTCTTTTGCTTAGTGGCAGTTTTTTTAATAAGTTGCTTTATTTCATTTGTCAATCTATCGTGGGAAAATGTATTTTTAAAGAGTATTCTTCTTTGATAGGCTCCATCCCCACGTGACCCTACTAGGATTAACACATATAGATATATGATGGATGGATGGATGGATGGATGGATGGATGGATGGATGGATGGAT